TATACCAGGCGGCTAGTCTCTGGAATGCTAACTCTTGTCTACGGGTATTCGTGAGCGGTTTCTATATCTATTAGGGCTGTACCGAATATTCGCTTCGTATTCGCTTCGGGGCCGAATAGTGGACCTATTGACTATTCGGTATTCGCCGAATAGTTGCGGTCGGGCCGAATACGAATAGTAGTCACCTTACGCCCGCTTCTGTATATACGGCCTTAATAGTGACAACATGGAACGACTGGTTTTGTTGAAAGCTAATGCAGCTTTCCCGCATTAGCTAAGCTGTCAGTGACAATTTCTAAGTTTTGTTACTTAGGATTCTTTCATTCCTAGTTATTAGTTATTAATTACCACAGACTGACTAAAGGATGCAAAACATAAAATGTTTTTAAATGTTTACTATTCTGTACGAATACTAACTAGACATGGAGAGAATATAAACTCCGGCCACATCCAAGTCAATAATATAAAAATCAAACGAACGGAAACATATAAGTTCTTTGGTGCAAACTTTAACTGCTCCAACATGTCGAGAGAAGAAATACAACCTAGAATACAATCTAGAAATAAAGTATACTATGCCCTTCAACATCTGTTTAAGTCAAAGTGTCTGTCTCGCAATACCAAGATCGAAATATTTAAAACGTTGATAAGACCAGTCGTTTTATATGGCTCTGAAATTTGAAGCAGAAATAAAAGAGATTACAGGTTTTCAAAAACAGTCTTACGACAAATCTTTAGACCTATCAAAGATGCTAACAACGGGGAATGGAGAGGGAGAAGCAACAACGTAACACATAATCTGTTTAAATCACCATTGATCACTGGCATCATGAGAGCTAACAGACTACAGTGGCTGGCGCATATCGAAAGAATGTCAGATGACAGAAAAGTAAAAACTGTATACACCCGAGAAAGGAATGGGCGTAGACCACGAGGCAGACCAAAAAAAATCGATAGATAATGTCCAGCTAGACCTGCAAACAAATGGTGTCACAAATTGTGAAGAGAAGGCCAGTCAGAGAGATGAATGGAGACGAGTGTTATCTGCAGCAGTAAACCTCAAGGGTTCAGAATGCTAATGAAGAAGATGACTATTCTGTGCTTCTTTATGTGAAGTAAAAGTTCAGAGTACATTTGACATTATGATTTTTGTTAAGGTCTATTTTATAAACTATTCGTATTCGTATTCGGCCGAATAGTTGGTCCCGCTATTCGTATTCGGTCGAATAGTGAAAATCACTACTCGGTACAGCACTAATATATATATATATATATATATATATATTAATATATATGCTTAAATATACATATGTATAGAAGCATACAGCTGCCTGTGTAGGGGTATATATATATATATATATATATATATATATATATATATATATATATATATATATATATATATATATATATATATATACGTTGTGTGCTAAATGAGACAGCACATTGAGAAGTATCTAGCAGGTACTCTTCAGCTTCCTCTCTTAGAAATAGAACTCGACGACGATGACACCGTCATACATGTTTATTTAACAGGGTACATGACACAAATGCAGAGACGTATTTATTGATCACAGCTGACATTCGCACATCGTCCATTTGTCCTCACTCGCTCTCTATCTCTCAATTTGTAGCGGCCTCTCCTGGACTACTACAGCTTCAAGGACTACAGCGTTCCACACTATGGACGCGCCGTACAGCTGAACAGGACGACTTCTCCCATTCCCTGGACCTTGATATTATTTCAAGCATACAACACGGCTGCCTGGAGACGGACTTCCCTTGCCGTACTCCTGAACACACAAGCTGTCGTCAGCTTGTCGTAAGGCTCCGCTGACCGACAGGACTTCTATCATAAGTTCCCTCTAGTACTCAGCTCGCGTCGGTACCACTCCCCTCTGCTCTGTTTCAGTAGTGGTCCTCCTACTTTCTCTATGTCGCCACCCAGAACAGGTACTTCTGGAGCCTTCCGTCCCCTGGACTTACTTTGCCAGCAGGACCATATCTTCCTTTTAGTACCGCAACCTCGACACTCACTCAGACCTAAATGCCTGATAGTCGTACGGTATTCTTGTATGTGAGACTCGCGAGAGATATCACGGACCCTGACTTGGTCTCTGACTCTCGCTTTCTCTCTCTCTTCTCGCTTCTCTCTCGATTGCTTCTCGACTGCCTCCAGCCCTCCAATTTATCCCTCAAATCCGTGTAGGTGGATGATGTCTACACGAGAGGCACGCTCGTATGGGCGTTCTCGTGAATCATTATCCTGTGGGTGTTCTCGAGACTCACTTATGCGGGTGGCTGATAAGAATCACGCTGTCACTCAATTCACACTTTGTTTATCTCGTTAGCCCTGCTTTCAGCCCCCGCACAGTAACCCACACGTCCACTTTCTCTCGTGCGTGCGCGCCTTGTTTAAGAATAGACATTTTCACTGGTCGCCTCTCAATACTCGGACTATGTTGACACTATTCCCCCCGTGAACTCACAGAAAGTACTGGCCCTTCACACACTATCACACTTTACCCAAATCAGCGCGCAACAATATATATAGGCGGGTTTCAGCTGGATGTCAGTATGGATGGTTGGTAAGCAAGCACCATCATCCTCAAGTTCAATGCCGACAGGCGTGGCAATCATGTCACTCCAGGGTCTGTTGTGGTGTCGGTTGTTAGATGATGAGCTGTGGTTATGAAAGTATACAACAAGACGGCAAAATAAGGTCCTCTATTAACATGTCGTAGGGGTTTCAGAGGTCATCTGTGCCTTCTTCGCATATGAAGCTTTTACTTTTTATAGAGTTAACAATTGAAAATTATGACTATGGGTCAGGTGTCATGTCATTTTGTTAAGTGCCGGCCGCTCTAGAAGTGTTTTAATTGTAGTAAAAAAATGAAATTGTATAGCATAAAGGCTGGAGACGTATCATATTATAAGGTGCTGGTCGTTCGGGAGGGGTTTAAATTGTAGTAAAAAGGAAAACTCATGGCAAGTGAGCAGGTTTCGTGACATAGTGTTAGGTTATGTCAGCTCATAAGGGTTTAAAGTGTCGTATCAGTTAGTTACATGAGAAGTTTAAGGTGTCATTAAGGGTCACATCATAAGGTGCTATGATTTAATACAGAGTAAAAATTAAAACTTATTGCAAAATAGTCGGTATCATCTCATTGTGTTAGGTGCCGGCTGACGATCCGAAGGGTTTAGGTTGTAGTAATAATGTAATCTTATGACAAAAGGGCATGTTATAGAGCAATTTTACTTCCCGACGACTAAGTAAAGAGGGTCAAGTTGTCGTGCCAGCTAGTTTCATGAGCTGTTTCCTGGGTCATTGAGGGTCATCTAGGCCTTCGAGACATATGGTTCTATGACTTTATGTTGTTATGACAAACGTAGGGTATCATGGACCAGTCTTAGGAACCGGACCTTCAGTCAAAATGGACGCCAGGCAAGGTCACTGTTTTGAGCGTTGCAAATGTTTTGCTTCTGTCAGACGGTGGCCTTTGCATGTTTGCTTCATTTGTAGACTGAAAATATATAATTTCGTCGCCGAGCTTCTGAGTTGAGTACATGGCGTGACAGGGTGAGCTGCGGATTTCATTAGGAATTTTTTCGACCGTGACCAACGTGGTTGGGCGAATTGTGGATTATGAAAATGGTGCGATGCCTGTTATGGCAATATTTGTGGTGCCATTATGTGATTAGAATTGATTGTGTGTGCAGCTGTTGATCTGTTGGTGACTTCTGCTACCATTCATGAGGAACTGCATTTCTAATGGCAGACTGTTTGTTTTAGCACTTCGGATGGCTACCGTATGCTTCTAATGCGTGTGTATGCTAGTCCATATGCTGAGACAGCAGTCTCTTAATCTTTCCACGAGGGATTGGGATAAACATTCTGTGTGGTTTTCGTTGGCACAGGAGAAGAGCAACTATAGGGTGACCCATTTGCTATGAAGCTGAAACTTAGATTACCAGATTAGGTACCGGTATCTCAGTTAGGGATGTCAAGTTGTCGTGTTAACTAGTTAGATGTGAAGTGTTAGAGTTTCTGTGGCATATGAAGCTAGTACTTTTTATATAACATAATTTGAAAACTGAGTAAAGTCGGCGGGTGTCTTTAAAAATGTTAGATGTGGGTTTTCAGGGAGAGGGTTAAGTCGTAGTGTCGACTAGTAAGAGGAGAGGTTTATAGGGCAGGCGACACCATACATCGCACAATGTACCTTGCAACTTGGTCACTGGGCTTTGCAGGTGGTTTACTTAAATTCCTTGGTAGGGTGCTTCTCTAGTTAGTCACTGGTTTTCGTAAGTCGTTTACCGAAGTTTCTTACTAAGTCAACCACGATTGTTGGGACACTTTAATGCGGGTTATGTCTTTCATAAGGCTTTCACTGTCTTAGTACGCATTAAATCGCTCAATGTCTCTCTCGTTTGGGACACCCCAACTTGCTCAAGACCTTATCAAATTGCTCACTGATTTTAGTAAGACGTTTACGGAAGTTCTTTGGTAAGGTCGGCTACTATCTCTTGCACACCTTTAGTCGTTCAATGTCTTTCTCCTTTGAGACATCTTAAGTCGCTCAATTTGTGCACCAAAACTTCACTTGCTTTCCTTGCAAAGTCTTCACTGATGTTTCTGGGTTATATGGTTACTGTCATTAGGACATTTTAGGTCACCCGATGCCTTTCTACATTAAGACACAACTCGATATTTTTCTCCTTTGTAAAACATTAGGTCACACACTCACTGATGTTTCTAGGTAGGTCACTAATTAGCATTGGTAATAATCAAGTCACTAGATGTCTTTTCGCTTGGGGAGATCTTGAGTTGTTCAATGTCTTTCTCCTACGACACACCTTTAATCAATCAAGATGCTTGCAAAGTCTATCACTGGTATTAGCAAATTTGTCACTGAAGTTCCTTAGTAAAGGGTCCGCAGTCCTTGAGCCACATCAAGTTACTCTACATTTGTCTCCTTCAGGACACCTTAAAGCATTCAATGTATGTAACAAGTATTCCACGGGCTGTCCCTGATAAGTCCGATGCCATGCGACTTTTAGAAAACACAAGTCGACTTTTATCAGCACCCAGGGTTTACGAAGCGCATCCTACCAACCTCGCTATGAACTCTCGGAAGGGATTTTTTTTTAAATATAAATAATTTTACGCCACAGACGAGATACCCGGGGCTTGCTCCGCTCTCGTCACGAGTCGGCCCAATTTTTCTACTCCCCCTCCCCCACACCCAACACAGAAGAAATACTCCCAAACACCTTCCCTCTACCTCCCAATCATCATCATTGAAGCGCCATAATTGCACATCATAAAAACAACAAAAGCCTGTGTAGCAATTTAGCAATAATATAAAGGGACGTAATTTAATCTTTATTATCTTTAAATTTTCCCCTTGATTTATTATGTAAAGAGACGTAACTTTAACTTTTGTAATAAACTGTGTTTTGTTGCTTTATCGTGCTTACTAAGTACTGTCATTGTAGTTTCTCATTGAAATAATAAAACCTATAGGTTTATCACTAAATAAATTCTTGATACTTTTTTTCGAATCCTCTTAATGTAACTGAATGACTCGTATAAACAAAACCTATTCAAATTTTGTTAAACGGACTTTATACATCGGGGGCCTGAGTGAGGGTAAATTCATTGAACTTGATTCTGTTTCTCGCTTTGGGACACATTTGTGTGTGTCGGGAAAATCAATGTCTAATCCGAATGTCACCGAGTGTTAGTGTGATCCTGTTATGCTCGTCAACCGGGGTCGAACCCTACACCCGGGTCTACAAAGCGCAACCTACATTCACGCTATGAACGCTCAGAGAAAGGATTGGTCGGGGTTTACTTAACTGCAAAAATGAGGTTTTTAATTCTGTAAAAGAAAAAAAAAATTAAAAATTATATTTAAAAAAATTTCCTTATTTTTCTCTTTTTTTTTTCCATGTGGAATGACCTTCATCCAAGATAATCGGAGTTTTTTCTTCTTAGTTCCATGTGGAGGGAATGCTCACCCCCGGGAAGTTTTTTTCCTTTCTTTGTTCCATGTGGAGGGATCCTCTGCTGGTTGTTTTTTCATCTGTTTTCTATGTGGCGGGTTATTAGTATGGCCTAAAGAGCAAAAGATCTCGAAAAAATATATGGATTTTTAACCTTCTATACTACTAATGAGATATTGGCAGCAAACAACATCTGTTACAAGCACGGCAATGAAAGTGTTTAATAAAAGCATGTGCACTGTCGGTTTTTTTTTTTTTTTTTAACTCTACACTTAGCTTATAATAAAAGTGATTATAGCTGAAACTGGTTACGAACAGATGCCTATATTGATTCAAAGGCAGAGGCTGCAGTGAGATTTAAAAAATTTAAATAACGGATCAGTTTACCTTTTAAGATAATAGCTTCTATCGCCGCGGAAAGACAGAGACGGGAATAATGATAACATGGCAAGACAACAAACGCTGGTCATTTATTGACTTTATACCCGTCAACATTTCTGAAAGGAAACAATCTTATAACCTTTAAAAAAGAATGTTGGCCTTTGATTCCGTACATGAAAAGACTGAACACCATAGTGTGGAGTGGATAAATAGTCTGCTAGCTTTTAGGCTTTGATGACAGTGATGATGATGATGATAAATGATGATAATGATCGTGATTAATGATACACACTTTACTACTGTTTTTGGTAGAAACAAGTCTGAAGAGACTACCTAGAAAGAAGACTAAGAGAATGCTTGTAGATTAGGTTTAGTGATTGTTTTTTTTTTTTTATCTGCGAAGACCCATTTGGATATTTATAACATCATTTACGGGCATAAACAATTATTCTTTGAAATTGCCGTGCGAAATATTAACTGGCAAAGCCATCTGATTTCGCGGGCTGAACTTTTCTCGCCTCTGTTGTAGATGAAGACAAGTGAGCACACGTTTCTGAAAACACATCAGATGAATTCGGTTATTTTTTTTTTTTTTTCGTTTTTTTTAAATTTGTTTTAGAAAAAAAAAACACAATTTAAATTAATGGTGTTCATAGGTAACATTGAATATGAATTTTTGTACGTAAATAAAGAACAGTTTTCGAAAAAGCTAAACATTTTGGGAAATGAAATGAATTCTGAATTCGGATTATCAGTTAATCTCTGCAACTGGATATTTAATACATAACATTTTTTTTCTTTCTAGAGGAAAAAATAGTGTAGTGGCGAAAAGAACTGTTTATGTATAGGCGCCAATCTGCTAGAGACGAGTATCTTTTCGATTTTAGTTTTACTGAACACTGGGGCTCTTAATGGAGATCATCCCATTGTCTATTTAATACTTATCTGACATTTTTGACACTGTGACGTATTCAGTTGTGACGATTATTTTTTTTGTTTTTTTGTGTTCCTATTTCTGCTTGACAATTGTTACAGATATGGATGGGTACCATTAGCCTATGTGGAACCAACACCACGAGCAAGCCATCATAATGGGTGAGTAATGTTCACCAAATCAACTATACTTGTCTTGTAACCAGAAATTCTAAAAGCACAAATACAAGACATTCTTCATCACAGACCAGCATTACAAATGTAATATTTTTCTTTTAGCAGCAGTATTGCTTTCTGGCAATTAATCTGACTAAAGCAGCACGCTCGTTCTTGGAGTGGTAGCAACAAATTAAAGTGGACGGGACAATAAGAAGGGTAGCTGACTTGATTTATCACTTTTTCATCTCAAATGACACATGAAGGTTTGACACCCCCGTGACTTACAGCCATATCCTAGTTGTCACCCCAACAGACTGAACCTCGGATACCCTTCTTCTTCTACTTCTTTCGTTCGCCTGAAATAAGTTGTCTATATCAGCAATTTGGTCTCTTGTATAAATTTCATTGTCGTTGTTAGTTCATTCAGTGGTCCATAGAGTTTACGTTCCACTGTTGTTCTTTCTGGCCAAAAAGGTTTGCCTTAATGTGTCAAATTCGGTGCAGTCATGGAGTACATGCTCTGCTGTCTGGGGTACCTTTCCACAGGTGCACATGGCTGATACGCCTATCTTGAATTTTGTGTACATGTGGTTACGTAATCGGTTGTGCCCTGTTCTGAGGCGGAGGATAATGACTTGTTCTGATCTGTCCAAAATAAAATAGTCGTCTTGTGCTATGGCTGGTGGTTTCTTGATTGATTTAATGATTCTTTTCTTTTGGTGGTATGTGACTGGTACATCCGGCTGCACTTTTGTCGCATTTGGATACCCTTCCACCTCTAAGGAAGTTATAATTAGGACAGGCACTGGTAACGTAGAGATCAAGTACCATCTCGATGTACTAGCCTCTGTGTGTAAGTATGGATGAACTAGGGTCCAACGATTAGAGATAACATACCTTAGTGACATATATAAAACCCAACTATGAAAAAGCATTTGACAGCATTGATAGGGAATCTCTCTAGAAATTTACGGGGCACTATGGAATCTAACAGAAAATTATTAACTTAGTAAAGGCAACATATAAAGACATGAAATGTTGAGTTATTTATGAGGGAAAGCTAACAGATACATTCGAAGTAAAAACAGGTGTGGGCAGGGATGCTTTTTGTCTTTTTTGTACTGCCAATAGACTGGATTATGAAGACTAACACCAAGAATGGAATGCAGTGGATCCCTACAAAACAGCTTGATGATCTGGAGTTCACTGATGATATTTCTTTTCTGTCCCACAAACTGAATCAGTTAAAAGATAAATTTACTTGTTGTGAGATTACAACAGCTGGGGCTGAAAATTTATAAGTAAAAGACAAAGCTGATGAGGATAAATCATGCAAATAGTAATAGAGTTTCCATTAATGGTATCCCACTAGACGTAGACTTATTTAGGCAGTAATGAACCTAAGGAGGGGCAACTGAGAGAGATACTGAAATACGAATATAAAAGGCAAGACGGGCTTTCATAGCTTATAACATTTATGGAGGTCAAAAGACGATAAAACTAATACTAAACCTGCAGTTTTTAATTCTATCAAATCAGTATCTTTGAATGGAGCGGAAACACGGAGAACAACTAAGGCAATTACTAATTAACCACAGACATTCATTAACTGGTGCGTGCGCAGAATAGAGGGAATTAAATGGTATGATAGAATACTTAATATAAAGTTTTGGGAAAGAACTAGACAAGTTCCAGTGGACCAAGAGGTGAAGAAAAGACGCTGGCTTTGGATAGAACACACGTGGGAAAAAACATGAGAGCAATATAACCAGAATGTCTTTGCACTAGACCCCCACAGGGGCATAGAAATAAAGGAAGACACACAAAAAAACACATGCAGAAGGGAGCTAGAGAGTGAAGTCAAAAAGAAGAAGGAACAACAAGGGGAGAGCTGTATGCAACAGCGAAGGATAGAACGACTTGACGTGAGTTGGTTGAGGGCCTTATGTCCATTGGGCTGCATTAGTCAGAAGAAGTGTTGGATGGTTCACTGAAAACATTATGTTGGCTGATTGTTTTATTTGGGATCAGCTAGTGTAATTAACACGTAAAACAGACTGTTGACAAACACGCGAACAACCTAGTAAACACTAGCAACGTGCAGGAATGTCTGCTCAGTCTTAAACTACAAACATCTCTCCAGGGGCTGGCTGACATGAAGGTAAGCAAGTGTATTAACTGCGTTTATACTAAATCAATGATAACTTCATTTTCTGTGTCTAAGATACGATTATGATTGTCTATCCGATAGACCGCTACCAAGGGCTAAGAGCATCAGTGACCTCAAGGAGCAGAGTTTGCAAGCGTTGTCATCGTCGTTTATCGTGGGTACCACCCGTTCACGATACAACTCCTCAGATAAGAATAGGAGATCTGCGTCTGCTACACAAGATACAGCAATCATGAAAATGATAAGTGACAACTTTCAGGTAGCGCCTAAATATATTTAATATTTGTGAATAATTGTATGTCTCCTAGGTTAAAATAATGCACGTATTCCTCCTTTCTTACCCACATAATACTGACCATATTAACCTACGCGTACCGTTTGCTTGTGAGAAAATCTGGATTTAATTTCACATCCTTGTTATGTGTTACAGCATGTAAATGAGTTTCATTAACATCAATATCATAAATCATAAGATTTCAGGGGTTACTCTAGTACACAAGAAGAGCGGATGGCTGAACAGTTAGAACTCTAGGCTGTCATGCGTGAGACCGGGGTTTAAACACTCGCTAAGTGTAATTTAGTATTTTCCCACAGGGATTATAATTACGACAATATAGAAGTAAACATTGCATAAGGGAGAAATATATGAGAATGTGAATACTCGTATAAACACGAGGTATACTAACATGGCTCAAGCCAGCACGTTAAACCCAGAACGAGGGTTATAAGATTAACCAAGGTCTAATTAGTTAGGATGTGTTTGGCAGCTTCTAAGGTCGTTTTTTGAAAGACGAGTGAATGTGACGTGTAATTAAAGACGTGAAGGAGATCCTATTTCATAAGAGGACTGCAAGATGACAACCCGATGACAGCCTAACCAAAAGTTGTAGCCGAAGATATCCAACCAGCTAAGGAGTCTAACAGCCATGATCGGAGATGCTGGATCAACCATTGTGTGTATCGCGTATGTAATGAAACAGGACTGGAAAATAAAGAGTGTGGATGGTAGTACACTTCGATTCTGTACTTGATAAATGTCATCATCTCTTATTGGACCGTGCTAGCCAGTAGTACACATTGACAGGACCCGATTACTTTCAAAAGCTGAATAAATAATATACACGGATATCTTGTCTACTCGTTACCAACTAATTCCAGAGAAATTTGACTAAAAAGCTCAACGAAATGGGGAAGCAGAAAAACGTTCACAAATCAACACAAATATCGTAACGTTTCGGCCGGGCAACTTTTGTCAAACTACACAAAAATAACAACGAGGAAAGGAAAGTATATAGATCTCTAAGGGGTTACGTAAGCAACGTTTAAAAAAAAGTATATGATGTGGAATAAATGAAATAAAATAAACGATGGCTAAAAAAATATAGTCGCAAAAAATAAAAAGTAATATTTTTAATATATAATATAATAGTGGGAATAAAAGAAATACACATGTTAATGATATATAGATGATACTGATAAGAGATAGAATGAAGTAATAATATGAATTAAAAAACATTGAAGAAGAAAAGAAAATAGTTAACATTTAAAATATGAAAAGAGTAAAAATGTTTAGATGAAGGTATGTTGAATATTGATACCACCTGGACTAATAACGTCTAGGCTGTGGATAGGGCTATTTTCTAAAGATGATAGGTTTTATCGGGAAGTAGCTTGATGGATTCAAAAATGTTGAGGGCATGGTAAGTATCTTTGATAAATGAAGGGAGACTAGTGACAATTGGTTGAAAAATACTATCTAAAAATTCAGAAAGATACACCGTGGGACAGGAGCACGCAGATACAATGGGACGTCCAGGGTTGTTGGGCTTATGGATCTTAGGCAGCAAGTACATACACTGTTTGCCGAGTTGGCTGTCAAAAACACGCACATTGTTGGCCTGCTTGGGAAGAGTACCTTGTGAGATAAATGATTGTAGCGTGTCCTTGATTTTCTTATTGTTGGAGACTGTGTGGTCGTCCCTTCTGGTGGAAAAGAAAACGGGGTTTCCGAGTTGGGTGCTGGCTTCCTCAATATAAAGATCCTTTCTCCAAACCACTACAGCGCCCCCTTTGTCAGCCGATTTTATAACAATATCGTCCCTCTTTGAACGGGATTTGTTGGCCGTTTACAGTGGACTCCTCCTGTTCGTAAATCTAAGGCGCTTGATCTATACCTCAGCCACACGCTCTATACTATCCAACAGCTGGGACAGCTTTTAAGTCAGACTTCTCTGCAATTCCTTGTAATAGCTTGGCTGCAGTCACCCCGATATTTTCGTTACCAACTGTGTGATTTCAGAATGTCATCCGTGTCATAGATATGAAAAAAACCTAGCAACCAGCTAGCATACCGAGGAGATAATATCTTAGTAAGGCTGGGGCTTTTTTTCTGTCAGAGGCAAGATAAAACCTCACCTTTACCGTCCGTGGCGACAGCACTAGCATTGCGGCCCTAAATCATCAGGCTCAAAGACACCCCCCCCCCACCCCCTCCCCCCTTTCGTTTTGTCCCCGTCTTCACCGCAAAAGTGGTATGTAAAGGCAGTCAATGGCATAGATAGTAATTTGATAGACGAGTGCAATATACGAGTGCAAATATAAATATTGGAATTTAAACTAGCCTTATTCCTTGCTGTTTAAAAATGTCACATTGCAGAATAGAATATCATAAGTTACTGATAAATGATGGGTGATGTTGTCAATATCATAAGTCAGCGCTTGATCTTAAAGATGCCAAAAAAAGAATTAGATGTGATGTTTTGATATTTGTGCTCATGGATGAGGGGGTTTGGCTGGTGAACTGGATAGCATCGGGTCTGCACTCACGTAGTGTTGCTCTCCGTCTGAGTACATGGATCTCACAGCAATTTCCCTAGGATTACCACAAGGTTCCGAAATTTCACCCAATGCTCTTCAATGTATATTGTAAGTAAGATTACAGACCAAGAAGACTCAATTGTTAGTAGGATATTAACACTTACAGCTGATATTCTTGCATGTGGTCAGGAGGGCGATAGGCAATATACAGCTCAAGAACGACAGGCGACAGTAAGCAAGGTGATTGGCTGGTGTGTATAGATGGATTAGAAAGTCTACAGGATCGACGTCAATGCACCAGGTTTTATCCTGTATGGCTCGGTCTCTCTTCACGGAACGGCAAGCTGCCTGTCGAGAGCTGCAGAACAGAGCACGAACTACCTAGCTCCGACGACGAACCCTAGAGATATCTGTAAAAATTGCCCTCGATGGGTGCTGTCATTAACTCAGAAAGACTGCTGTTTAATGGTGTTCTCTGGACAGTGGGATTGTCACAGCTAATGCCCCAAGCATCAATGTTAATGATACTAACATTAAAATAGACGGCGAACTTGAGTACCCGGGTATTACTTTCGAAAGAAGTCTGTCCTTCTTCTTCCCCTTTTTCTTTGTTTATCGGCTGTAGACTCATGTGATAATTCCTGGTTGTTCGTCCATTTATACTTTGTGTCAGAGCCCGAACGTTCCGTGTACGTCTGTTTTACTGTCTTATTTGTGTGCAGCTGGTTGTTCCTTGCGCTCGGGCAGATGCACTTCGACTTCGATGGAAGTCCCCAATTAGTCGAATCCTGCGACATACTTGTTGGGGGCGGGGGAGACAGTGAGTATATTCTTGTTTTCCCACAATGAGGACCCGGAACCTTTACGGGAAAGCCTGTCATTCGAGAACCATTGGAGGCTGTTGCGGCAAAGTGCCAAAAAGGACTCAGTAGAAGACGACAATGGAAAAAGAATGCTATTCCCAATGTTCTAGTGATAGATTATGGAATCAGAATGCTCACCATACAAATAGTTAGCTGACTAAACTTGAACACATATATAATGAAGTCATGTGGTGATTCTAGGATGTACAAGAGATACCCCAGTAATTTGATAGCGATACATGATTGCACTGCCGATTACCGCAAATAGGCTCAAAGTGATGCAAGCGAGTTACTACCTCAGAATGGACAAGAATCACCTTTTGCACGAAGCTGTAGATAATGCTAAGATAACCTTTTTGAAATGGGACAAACTGGTAGTCCAGGTAATTAAAAAATATTCCTTGCCTGGAACTTATGACCATTATGTGGCAATAAGCGTGCCAAGCCTGACTAATTACGGCTCTCAATTCAATCATGTATACACATTTCAACATCATGCAGATTTGCAGCCTTACAGACATCCATCCAGGTGAGGAGTGGATACCAGAGTCTAAAGTGCCCAATCTCACATTCTCCTGTGTCGTGACCCTCGATAGGAGTTGTCGGGAGTAGAATCCAGCTGCTGACAATGCCGAGGTATGGGCGCATATCAGTGACAAGTCAGATAAGACAGATATGCTGATCTTTACAGACGGGTCCGTTAAACGAGGACGTAAGAGTGTATGGGCATTTACAGCTCGCTCTTCGGGCAGAACAGTTAAGGAAGCCAGCGGTGCCTTCTTCATGACCACCAGCAGCATGACGATGGGGGTGATGGCGGTGACACAGGCTTTCTTGTGGCTGGGATCACAGGACTATTCCCGCGTGTGTGTGCTGAGTTATTCTTTGAGTATGATCCGGCGGGTCGAGTCAGACTGGTTACGCCGTGGCTTGAGTCACTGCAAAATTCTCCTGTGTGTGCAGTTACTTTCATATTCGTCCCAGGATATGCAGGCGTTGTTGGTAATGAGAGAGCTGATAGACTGGCAGAATCTGCATTAATTGAAGATTGCCGGCCCATGGATGCTGTGAAGATAATCTAGCTCATAACTCAACTCATACACATTTCAATAAATAATAGCAACAGTTGCGCCCTAGGGCAGCATTGTCTGGTTGTTTGCCCATTTGAGTTTCTGTGTGATTTTTTTTCCCTTCCTGTGATCTACAAACTTTTGATTTGATATAGAAATACACCTCTGAGTCTAGCATCCTCATACTGTGGTAGTCAGTTGAAATTAGGGCTGTTATTAACTAACAGTATTTTATCAGACGCCAGGATCCGAGACGGGCAGTCTGAATTCAAGCAGTTCGTTAAACTCCCACAATGCTCATGCTCCTCCGGTCCAATGGCCAGGCGTCGATATCTATCAGCCTTTACCAGGCGAATCCAGTGATGTGCATGTAAGTGTTCATAGATTGTTTTATTTGTAAGGAGTTTAGGAAGTAATGGAATTATATTTATACATAGACTAAAGAAGCAGTACACAACGCATGCAGCGTCCGTTGTTTTTAAATTGTGAATACAAATATTATCAACGAATTTTAACTTTGATGCAATTATTATGATTTCTTGTCTATTTATGCCATACTCTTGCTGCCTCGAAGGCATCATCCATGACTAGTACTAAATGGTATAATACAGAAATAGTGCATTTAATTCGGAAATGTACGTTCTCAGTTAAAATTTCCTATCTGACCTCCATGAATACAAAGCACACCAATAAAGAGCATGGATCAATGTTTCTGGATTTAGAGTAGTAATTTTCTTGTCAAGAATTCTGACAACGTGTCAGTGGGACCTTGCTATCTTTTTAAGGTCCAAGTGCTACAGACGCATGTGTAAAACTCACCAACACAAGTCCAACTACACTCAAATATACACAAACCCAGCCACTCATTAACAGACTTGCACATTTACCATTGCAGTATCATCCATTCATCCGCATATCCCAAATTCTAGACTGTCTTCAGCCCCGACCCATTGCACCCATCGACTCCCTCATTTCTTCTTTTCTTCCTCGTGTTGATGGTCTATGGTCTTCATCTTCTTCTTCTTTGCGTTCGGTTTCCTATGAGATCAGACCAATAGGTGGGTTGCCTCTATGAACTCGCATGTCAGCAGTAGGTCCTTCGTGGTTCCCCATAGCTTGCTCTGCACAATTTGCTCTTGAGCCAGGTGTTCCTTCGAAATTATATGTTAGTATGTATAGTGGGCAGGTCTGCAGTATGTGCTCAGGTGTTTGTGGTCCTGTTTGACAGGCACACTGTGGGGACCGTACAATTTTTTTTGTTGTTGTTGTATGCATGTAGTAGTTGAGCCTGCAGTGTCCTAGTCGTAGACATAAAATTGTTGTATGTGAGTCTTCCGGAGGCGCATTACTGTGGTCCCATCTAGCAGCATGATGACCGATCCAGCTCCTCCGGTTTTTTCCCTGCTCCCTCCAGTGATCCATTGGTGTATACGTGTGTCCATTCATGTTTTGGATAAGAGTTGTAGACATGTTCAAAGGGCTTTACATGCAGTACTAGATCACATTCTTCAGCCTTTCTGTCTATGCAGACAAAAAATATATATAAATTTATATAAATATTTATGTGTGAGAGTGCATGTGTGTGTGAGAGAATAAGTGTGTGTGTGTGAGTGAGAGAATGAGTGTGTGTGTGTGTATGTGTGTGTGGGTGGGTGGGTGAGTGGGTGTGTGTGTGTGTGTGTGTGTGTGTGTGTGTATACATACACACACACACACACAGTCATATATAATAACACTTTTCAAATATTTGGATAAGATTTTTCAAACAGTCATCTCCAGAACTCAGGAACATTGTTACCAGTAGCTCTTGCTAGTAGGCAAATGTCGCTGCTCGGCTTTACTATTTCATGGTGTACTTAATGGGCGCCTTCTTCCACAAATTCCGATATTTTAGAACGGGGTTCATCCACGCCGTCAGTTTTCATGTACCTGAACAGAAATGCTATGAAAGTCACAACGTCTTCTATCTTTTTGCAACTGGTCCTCCAAGTTCTTACCCATTAGTTCCCTTCTCCTAGCCATATTGTTCCAAGAAAGAGATACGTCTTTTAAGATGTATGGCACTATTTCCACTGTACGTTTAAAAACCATAAAAAGTGCCTTTTCCCTTTTCAAAAGCTTCTTTGACGACTTCGCCATCAATGTATGCTTTTTTCTTCCTCTTGGTTTTATTTGGCGATCGTAAAGGTCACTGACTTGACCAGCCGTAAGGTTTCGTCAATATGCACTGTTGAGCACTTATCATTTGATTTAGATGAGACAATTGAGCCTTTTGAAGTTCACTAAGTATAGGAAATTATGTAGCCAATTTATGAAACGTCCTTATAAATTACTTAATTTTAAGAAGTGCAACAGCTGAGATAAAATAAAACACTTATCTGTTACTATAATGAATCAGAACTCCGCCTCCCTTTCACTAAGAGAATGGCAATTCGGCAGAAGAGGGGGGGGGGGGAGCGGCGGGGGGAAGGGGGGGGGTTATTCCTGGAAAAAGAGGGGAAAAGGGTGGATACAAGAGATTGCAGATGTATTGGCTATGAAAGTTGAAGATAGGGCTGGAGAACTAGCTAAAGACAGGCAGACTTTCAGGCATGCCTGCAAGAGAGCGAACGTTACATAAAGAATCTGTTGATTGATGATGATCGTCTACTTGAGGATTACCAGTTGTAAACTCCGGCGGAAAGTGTTTGCTTCTTCATCCGCTTTTGGACTTTAGTCTTGTTTAAGAACCTGAGTATTACGTGCACGTCCCTTATATAGATCTGCCTTCCTTGTATGCATAACTGTTGGTTCCTCATCTGGCGGGCAGGTGCACTCCGATTTCGAAAGATTCATCCCTAATTAGTATAATCTTACGGCATGCTTGTTAAGGGGCAGTGTGTCTACTTTTTTGCCCCCCACAGTGAGGCCCAGAGCCCACATGGGAAAATGGATGGTAATGATTCCATCTGCTGCAACCTATTCTTGAAAAATTATTGCTTTTTTTTCTTGTTTATAAGTTGTCTGCTTTTTACAGTCTCGTGCATTTCTTGTGCGTTGTATTTTAATTTCTAGATCTTTTTCTTTCTTACATCTCGTCTAAATCCGTGCCTCTGTAGCATCTCTACACACATCACGTATTTCTGTGTCTATTATTGCATATACTGGAGTTTTTCCCTTGTTCTTTTTGTCACTTTGTGATGTTGTTAGTCATCAGTATCTGATATTAATTGTTTACTTTCTCTGTAAGTTTTATTTGCTGATTGTATACTATAGTCAGTTCCACAAGTCGCGTTCATCTAGTTTTCCCTTAGCGTTTGAAGCAGTATATCTAATATATAAACAGACACCAATTACAAGCAAACAAGCAGCAGGCCCATAGTCAAGTCAGCAAGGGGAACTTTTCACCAAACCCAATCGCACGCGTTTATAGGCCTTTCACTCTTCATTTTTCATCTCCAGCATTTGCCTTTTCTGAGTTATGGTGAATTACAAAAAAAAAATTGTATTCAAAGTGGGATAGGTTATCAAAATAATCTCCACACATCACTACAATGTGAAATGATTTCCAAACAATCTCCATGCGTGTGTCAGTTTTTGTTGGAGGGGGGGGGGGGGGGGGGGGGAGATGGGGAGGTATACACAAGAGGAGAAATGCTAACATCTTGAAAGATCTGAACATTAAGAAAGATTGGCTAATACACAGCATCCTGTCTCGGAAGCTGAAATATTTTGGTCATATCAACCGCTACGACGGATTAGAAAAAATATAGCAAAAGGCAGAGGCATTGGCTGACCAACACAAAGATGGGCACAGTATATAAGTGACTCCTTGAGTATGCAAGTACATGATGGTAATGATGCACAAATTATTACTCAAAGATCGGAGATATTTATCAAGGTGCAAAAGCATGACTTTTGAAATGCAGTATTGTAGCAAAGTGACAGCTGTAGCATAAAAATGGTTATCAACTACTGACATTTAAAATTATATTTCAGAATGTCGGACATGGGATGTTGACAGGCGGGCCACTATTCTCACCTGACTGTCAGAGTTATCATACGATGAGATCTCATTCTTACAGTCGCCCGCCAAGTCCACCACTACCACCACCCCCTATGCCTTCTAATTTCTCCTCTCCACCACCTATTGTTGGAGGATCAGCTACCGTACCTAATACCCCAATGACATCCTCACGTCCACGATCCAACTCCATTGGCACCTACCTACCGCATGCACCTCATAACCAAAGCTTTAGCATACCTCCACCACCAAAATTTGATGCACCTCTACCACCAGCCACACCGGCAGGAACGACCCAAACCTCTAACAGCGGAAGACCAGTGCCACCCCCAGTTTCCCAGAAAACTACATCGGTGTCGTCAATGACCCCACATGTCCAAACACCGCAAACACCAAATCTGTCTAATCATATTCCACCACCACCACCGCCTCCTCCACCAGCACCGACTATGACCAAGTAAGATTTATTCAAGCTGATCTTTAGATTGTATAATACTAGACGACACATTGTTGTAGCCTGTTCTCTCACAATGCACTGTTTCTTTCTAGCAAGTCATGTCTATTCATAACACCCTGTCTCGTGTACTTTCTATCAATTCTGACACAAATGATCTTTAGTCATGATCTCAAACTGTCTAGCATCTTCTCTCACGGGTTCCATCTGCCTATTTCCCCTCCAACCTTTCCATCGTCATGACGTAATCCAGTTTTATCTTTCTCATGACACTACCAAGCAAATGTAGATTGTCTTCTTCTGATGTGGGTAATCGGTTCTCTTCGTGAGTCATTTTTTTTCAACACATTTTCATTGCTCTTTCAATCTGTCCAGGGTATTTTCATCTTTTATCTATAAAACCACATCTCCCCCCTCCCGCTTCCATTTTTCCTCCACTAATCGCTCAGTTGACCGTGATTTACCTTTATATATCAGGAGAGGATTTTAATACCTTGAGAATTCTGTTTCTTGTCTCAGTTGACAGTTAAAAGAATGCATAGAATATTTTTCATTTTGTAAAATGTTGCCTCTGTTTGAGCTATTCTACATTTGATTTACTTCTTAAATAAACAGTACATTGTTTAGGAAGGTGAATGTTTGTTTCTAACTAAATGGTCAACAAGAACTCAACTCTCCACATTTTCAAATACATGCCCTAAATGGGTCCCCAATCAGCTACCTTGTATCGGAAACTATGTCTTACAATTTCCTTACTGGCTGTTTCAGTGGAGCCTTCGTCAAACTAGGTATATTTAACAACTTAAACAATAAAACCATTGGCTCTGTGGCTAAGTCGATGCAAACGCTTTGTAATGCCGGGTTCGATCCCAGCTGCGGGCCATGCGCCTTGCGTTGGTTTCGACAGTGGTATCAAGAAAGCCGACCGCCCAGAAGCAATGGCAAACTACTGGATGTAAATTTGCCTAGAAAAACCACACAACAGCCAGGGGCTGTTGGGGTTGGTTCTGTAACGTCCTGTAAAGGATACGCAACTAACCAAAACAATAAAACCATTACTAATGCAGTAAGAACTTTCATTTAATTGTTGGTAATATGACTTTACAGAAGTAAATTAGGTGTATTATATTGTCCTGGAATTATTCAAATATCCCGCAAATGAAAATCAAGACACTTGTCTGGTAGAAAAAAGCAAAACACATGTTCATTATATTTTTTGTCCATCAGTATAATACACTGAATTTCCAGTCAAGGTAATGATAGACGTACCGAAGAAAGAGAAGCAAAACAGGCTTAGCAGTATGAGATCGCACATTCTTTAAAAACAACACAATTGACTGCCTGAACAGAGCAGCGCAGGGAATGTCCTGCCAAACTATATTTTTTACTGAAATGTCACAAGAGGCCAGCTGCAACATCTGTGGCTTTAACAGAAAAATTAAAAACTATAGGCTCAATTTTAATTTTGAAAGCACCACAAGCCATAGCCACTCAAACCCACATCTACTTTCAACAAGCACCCCCATGCAAACTATTTGGTCTCATCCAAATAAAAAACCAAAATCAAGTGCAAATGCAGTAAATGCCACTAAATTAGTTTCTGACAGTTAAAGGGCAGGTGGGGGTTTTCCGGGCAGATTAATAGTATGGTCACTGAAATATTCCGGTGCCACAAGTAGACAACTCAGCAGATGTGGGACACGGCAATAGTAGCAAACAAAAAGAGTGCAATTCTTTGTAGAAATAAGCTAATTTTTTTTATAAAAGCTAATTTTTGGAGTTCTCAAAAGTACTAATTGTTTTCTATATTAACACATTAATTATCACAATAGACAAGGGTTTTATTTCTTGTTTTTAAACTATTTTAAAGCAAATTATTATAGTTTCAGTTTCTAAATTTAATATATATATATATATTTATTAACTATATTCAATGGTTACAGGCCACTAACATACAGGCTCTGTAATTCTTTTGACATGTATAAGAATCATTACTGCTTGTGTTATATTCTACAAATACTGCAACACCTAACTTTTTCTGACTTCTGTTGTTCAGAAACCCATTTTCTGGCGTGTCTTTGAAAAAAACAAAGACCGATGACAGATCAGCACCAAGAATATAACAGAAACTCACACACTGGACCGCAATTTGCCCAGGAAACATAACGTGACCTCTGACAATCTGCAGATGACCAGCACAGCAAACAAAAGTCTAGTATGTATGTACTGGACCATATATCAAGGTGCCTGAAGAAGAATTATCCTTATTTTAAAATATATTTATGTTTTGACTGAAATAAACTCAGTAGAATTTATAATACACTTCGCAGCTATATTTATGTCAGACTGTATCTATATACTTTAATAAATGTGCCTATACTTGTCAAGGACAAGTAAGATATGGGATCTGTAGACTTTTGCATGTCATGAGAAGAGGAAAACTAGAGTATATAAGGACAATGGGAAAACAGATAGAAAAGAAATGAAGATGGAAATCAAAAGAGAAAATGTTTGGCATCATGGCACATGTATCAGAAATGATAAACAATACAAGATACAAAAAGTCTGGATAAATATGATTACTTACTTCACATGCACGATCTACAAGTCCAAGAATGTTATAATGTACTGAGATATTTGCATGATTTTATAGAGGTGGCAGCAGAATTTGCTTTATTTTTTCTGGATTCTTCTTTCCCTCTTGCCATTCTCTGAGTGAAGTTGAACCTCCTTATGACCGCACATTGTGTGGCCAACATCCGGTGATTGCTAAGTGTCCTTTGGATGAGAATCCACTCGGTACAAATCCCAGAAACCCCATTAAACCGTAATGTTATTTTAAGGCCCCTGAAGTAACCTGCAGTCCAGACATGGTGGGTTGGTTAAAAACATGATACCTGGATATTTTCCTAGATCTGATGAAGGTGTAATTCATTATTTTAAAATTTGGCCTATTTCATTTACATTAAGTGTTTATGTGTTTTTAGCTTATGTCTGTCTTAGTGTGGACTGTTTATATGTTGCTGGAGAGTCCATTCATTTGAAGGGTTCCAGAACAGACAGGAAACTATGGCGGTAGGACTGGATCTTGAGGATGCTTATAACAGAGTGAGATACGATATCTTAATGACTGCACTGAGGGAGAAGGAGGTCAATCCATGGCTGGTGAATTGGGTTGCAGCTGTCCTGTATTCACGTCAGGTTTCTCTCCAACTGGGCTCATGGACCTCTGAACCATGCACTTTGGCCCCAGGACTGCCACAGGGATCCACCATCTCGCCTGTGCTCTTCAATGTGTATACGAGCAAGATTGCAAGCCTAGAAGCACCAGGAGTTGGAAGGATACTGAATTTTGCGGATGATATACTTGCATATAGGCAGGGGGAAGAGAGGGAACAAACAGCTCGGGAGCTACAAGCAACAGTAGACAAGGTGACTGAGTGGTGTACAGAAGTGAGGGCTGTCGTCCACCCGGAAAAGGCGTCTGTTTTGTGGTGTTCTCTGGACAACAGAATCGTTAAAACTAATGTCCCAAGTTTCACGATAGATGGTAGAGACGTCAACAGAGAGAGCAAACTGAAGTATCTGGGAATTACATTTGACAGGAGCTTGTCATTTAAGGACCATGTGGAGAGTGTTGTGACGAGATGCCAAAAAGGACTTAGTGCACTTAAGACTATGGCTGCAATTGACATAGAGCAGAGAATGCTTTTCACACTATATCAGCACCTGATCCAGTGGTGTGTATGCGATACATCCTTGGTTTGCCGACAGTTGCAGGTAGGCACAAGGTGTTGCAGGCGAAGTCATATCTCAAGGTAGCTGCAGACACAGACCACCCTCTGCATGAAGCTCTGGGTGCAGTTAAGGGTCAGCGGCTGATAAGAGGGAGGTCATGGATGGCTCACGCAGAAGACACAATCAGACAGGTTTGCATCCTTGAGAACATTAGGCGAGGACAGGAGTGGGTCAAAGTGCCAGCTGAGCCGTCAGACTTGTGTAGTCATAATCATGCTGAGCCGGGAATGCAGAGACTGGCCAGCAGGTGCCACAGAGGTGGAAATTCAGCAATTAATTCAAGATAATGCTTGCTCAGAGGATTTGATCATTTACACAGACGGTTCAGTGTCAAGAGGCAAAAGAAGTGCTTGGGGCTTTTTAGCAAAAGTTAATGGTAGACGTTTGGTGCAGGAGAGCCTAGCATATGATACCACAACATCCAGCTTAAGAATGGAGGTGGAGGGGGTCACTGCAGCTTTCCGCTGGCTAGAGAACACGTCACACACACACATCATAATTGTAACTGATTCAGAAAGCATGCTGAGGAAGATTAGAATAGGTATGCTTCGTGCAGCGTGGCATGCTTCGCTGTGGAGGACACGAATGAGTATTGTCTGGATAATTTCACCAGGTTACGCAAGTGTGTTGGGAAATGAACAGGCGGACAGATTGGCTGGCTCTGCACAACTTGGTGGAATACTGCTACATGATAGGGCAGACGTGGTTAGTGCCTTGTTGGAGAGCGTGTACAATTCAGAGGAGCAGATGGATCACCACAGTCTGGTGAGATTGATGCAGTTGGGGGTGACGAGAGGTTCTGGCAGAAGCTTGAGGCTCAGAGGAAAGGCAAGACGGACGTTTAATCAGAAAGCTACTGGCACCATTAGTATCGGAACTCTTTGCTGGCTGCTGAAGATGGGGACGGAGCACTTAATTTCTTCTTTTTGTATTTACTTTCTGATTTACACTGACAGACTGCTATATAATAAAAAACAGAACATAATAAAAACAGAACGGATGAAACAATTATTTGTCAAGCAGTGATTTTAAACCAGTTGGTTGGCACCCGTAGCCTTCATACCGAATTGTAACTTTTTCTTATACATTGCAATGATATTATGTATTGGCTGTGGCTGCCATTGATGTCCGTTTAAATTGGATCGTCATGCTTCCCTATATAGGAGCTCTGACACAATTACCATTGTTTAAAGTGTTTTCCCTTACCCA